GGGCGTGAAAGGGTTGAGAGGTGCGGGGATGGGGCGACATGTCGTCACGCATCGTTGGGCAGACATGCAGTGGACATCGGTCTCTATTCCATGGATATGGAGCATGGCAAATGCAAAAGTACCCACGGAGAAAGCACTGAAATAAAATCAGATATTACCCGAACAAAATTGAAAATATCTTTTAAGGTAAATTAAGAAAAAGCTTACTTTTTCTTTAAAATCATTTTAATATTTATTAAAATAAAATATATATATTTAACAAAGTCACGAAATTAGACAATTCTTATTATTCCGCGTTAAGCTTTTTGAAGGGGTTCCAAAAAAAAGAACGATGTGGAATTAAATGAAAGATTAAAATTCCTCAAAAATTATATTATTGTAAAATCAATTTTTATACCTCAAAAATGCAATAATTAAATAACGAAACCCTTTTTTTCCCAGTGAACATCCATGATAATTGCCACAATTTGCTTGTTGCGTGAATGGACAGACGGAAAAGTGCCGGCGATTACAAAAGGGGAAGGTTTCTTTCGGCGGCGAAAGGGTGCAAAAAGGACAACTTCCGTTTGACGGACACGCGGACATACTCGCTCGCACATAGATGCACATATGTATGTAGGGGTCTTTTTTGTCTTATGTCCGCCTTGTGTCATATTTGAGGTGAGCATAAAGCCACTCAACGCCGCCATAAATCAACTGCACTCTGATCTACGGCTGTCAGCGCGGAGAGACACCAGACAGCGCGACTGAGCGACAGATAGCGACCAAGAAAAGCCAGAGTTACTAAAGCTTAGTTTATAATAAGTCGACTGATGAAATACCCACACATAATACCCATAGAAAATCTAATATGCTAGAAGCCAAAGAAGCTATTTAAATCTACTTTAATATTTGCTAATTAATTTTAATATTCTCATATTTGGTTTATTACTTTCATTAAATTTAACAGAATTTACAAATATATTTTTAAACTTTTAAGAAATGTAAATAATATTTAAGTATAATAATAATATTTACTAAATATACAGAACCTATTTGATAAATAAGTTATATGCTACCATCACAACTATGTTAAAGCACAATGGTAAAAATATAGTATGAATATATAAATCCTTTTATAGCATGTAATACACTGATTTCTCAATTTTTTCCGATTGATCTTAATTTATTTAATCAATATACCCTTTGGCAGAGCATTGCAACAGCCAGCGACAACGACAACTTTGTCCCATAACTTTCCAGACGACAAACAGACAACATCGCCGTTGTAGTTGATGTGAAACGTCGATTGCGATGTCTGCTCTTTGGGTTTGGGTTTGGGTTTTGGTCTGGGGTCTGGGTTCTGGGTCTGCTCTCACCTATGGCTATAGCTTTGGCTATAGCTTCGACTTTGACTTCGGATCTGGTTCTGGTTGCCGTTCTCATTCTCGTTTCTGTTCTGGGTCTGTGTTTCTCACACGCGGAGGCTTTCCAGGTCGCTGATGCCTTTTTGTGGGAATGCACCTGAGCTTTGGGGTTCGCCTTGTTTTCAGCCGCTTTTTTGTGTTTCGCTCGGGTCTTCAGCCGACGACTTCGACTTTGACTTGTGTCTAGACTGCAGACTGCAGACGGCAAAAAGGAAACAACAGGAAACGCCGGCAGACAACAGACGGGCAGACCTCTTTGACAGCTCAAACAACTGAAACGAGCCGACAGCAGCAAAGCAGCAGCGACTTGCAACCAGCCACCAGCAACCTCAATTGCATAGCTGCAACATTGCAGCAACAATGGTTCTCCACATTCACATCCACATCCACATCCAAGATATTGGGCAAACATTGCCAAACTGCGCGAACAATTCTCGGCTGTCAATATTGTCTGTCAACGTTGTCGTTTGTGCCATCTTTTCCTCCTTTATTCTTGACTCTTTTGTTTCTTGTCAGCTTGACAGTTCTCTTTGTTTAGTTTCATTAGTTTTTCTAAAATATGTCACATGACTCGGGCTCAGTTTAAAGAAAAAGTATTACACTATTTCTAATTTTCATTTAAATAAATTATAAATATTTATTGCAATGACAGGAATTTTTCCGAGTTTTTTTTTGATAATATACCCAACTAAAAATGACTAAAATAAAGGGTCGTTTGTTTTGTCCAGCTGAAAACATAAATAAACAATCAACATCACTTTCGGGAATAAAAAATATTGTTGGAAAGTTTTTTAGGGTAACATCGATTTTTTATAAATGAATTCCGAAATATGATGAAAAATAGTGAATCTGTAAAATAAGTATTTCCAATTCAATTGAGAACTCACCAAATAGGTTAGAAACGAATTTTCTAGTAGTGCTGATAAAGAATATATATACGTTATGGTGTCAGAAACGTCATCCTCACCTAAAAACTACAGACTGAATTCATAATGACATACTTTTCCATGATTTCTTTATTAAAATCTCCCAACCGCAGAGAGCCAGGCATTCCCTCCTTTTATGACAACCTACTTTGCCCAGGCAACTGTAATTCGTTTTAGTGAATTAACCAGCTTAATTAGTTTAACTCGAGAGTCGAGACTGGAACGTGGAAATGGAGAGATTCCCGGCCAGTGATTTGGCGGTTAGTTCAGGACATTGCATTCCTGTCTGTCTGGGGGCTTTCCCCCTTCATCTGGTTTTTGGTCAGCAATACGAGTGTTCGTACTCGTATTCGGGTATCCGCTGCTGGCAGCTATTTAGTCCGACTTGATGTCGTTGTCGTCGTTGTGTTTAATTATTCAAAACCATGTCATGTCTCTGTATAATTTTATGCATTGGCCAATCCAAGCGCCATGATGAAACTGATGATGATTACGAATGATGATGATGATGATGGTGACGCCTACACAGAGGCGCAAGCGGTAGACGGCAGACAGCTGACACCGAAACTATAGCTACACTAACAAAAAAGTCCTTACATTGTCTATTTTTAGAAAACGATAGAGGATTTTTAAGGTTTATTTTTATTTTGTAACACGCCATTTTTTTAGAGTTATATTTTTACAGATTTTGGGACTTTAACCAAGATAAATAGTTTTCTAATTAATTTTATTTTTTAATTAATTTCCTTTACATGGAGTTTTTTTATTTATTTTAAAAACGGCTGAAATATAGATATTTGAAATAAAAATAATAGATTGTTGCTATTAAGCCTACTAAATTTTAATTTTATCGGATTTCAGTTAAAACTTTAATCCAAAATTGCCCCAAAAAGTAGGCAATGTTCCTTCAAAGTACAAAGCAATTTTTTTTTTAATTTGAAAAAAAAAAGTTTTGTAAAAATGTATTACTTAATTACTAGGTAATTAATAAATGTGGGCTTTTTATATATACACAAAATGTTTTTCAGTGCTTAACTACAACTATCTTTCGACAAAGCCACATGTGGCAAAGGCAGCAACCGCAAAACAGACAGAGACGGAGAGACGTCGAGGGGGGGAGGGAGTGAGACGGAAGGTGTGAGAGAGGGAGAGGGAAGAGAGAGAGCTGGCTGCACTGGCAAAGTGGCATACCAGACAGTCTGACGCTGTTGGAGCCCACGAATGGCCACAGTTCCCTCGCCAAACCGCTCGCCCCTCTTCGTCCCCCCTCCTTGCCACGCCCCCTTCCCCTGCCTCCCCCCAAATGGCCAGATCTTGCCGTCTGGACGAGTACAACGACAATAATAACAACAACGACAACGACGACCACGACCACTGTCTGTGGCAGACCGAGACTATCGAAAACTCGAAATTTATTCGTTGGAAAAAGTTGATTTCTGTCGCCTTCTTTTTTCTGCCCACTTTTTGTCTTTTTGTTTTATGAGCGATACGAATAGAATCGAGGGGTATATGGGTAATTAAACGTTTTCTGTAAGTAATGTTAGCCAGATCATGGATTCCTTAACATTTATAAATATAATTAAAAAATTGTTATTATAATCTTACATCTTAAAAAGCATTTCCTTTAGCTAGAAACGCGTGTTTGCCCAATTCTCATACCTTTTTAAAAAAGTTTAAAAAAGTGAATAAATATTCGTTTTTAATAAAATCTTCAAATAGTAGGTATATTAATTACTGGATAGTAGTTGCGCCCATCAATTTCGCCAGCTGATGCACTCTTCTTTCTGCTCCTCCATAATCCCCAACTCTTATCTCTCTTTCACTCTCTGTCCCCCTCCCTCCGACAGTCTGTCGTTTTTACCGTCGTTGTTCGCTTTATTTTCCGAAGAATAACAACAACAAAAAAATGAGATGCCCACGAAAATTATGTTAACCAGCCAGCTGTGTTAAAAATCCCACATCATATCCATATATTCCCCTTTCTCCTACCAATTTTTTCCTCCTTCTCGCTGACGACAAATGCCATATCGCATAAGGCATAAAAATGTTCAGATATGATGTCTGGTACTGGAACATTTCAGGGCAATTGTTGCTGCGATTTGCTGTTTATTTCCAGCCCTTTGTTTATTCTTTCTCCGACGTTTTTTTTAACAATTGTGACATGCAAGTGGAGTATGTTTTTTTGGCATTGGTATGCTTCGTTTATTTTTGAGCATTTGTTGCGTTTGGCTGTTGTTTTTGACAGGTGAATGAACTACGGATCACGTTTTAATGTTATAGAATCGGGAGAGTTTCTTTTAGAATATAAAGTACTTTACTTGGTTTTGAAAAATAGTAAATGGTAATACCTTGGGAACTTTAATGAACATAATATTATGTTTATTTATAAGAAGTCAATTTTATGTATATAAGATCGTAAATAAAATAAATTTCAATAACAACCTCTGTAAACTTTTTTGATCACCTTATTGAAGGTTTAATCGAATCATATTTACGTTTTCTATAAATTATTAAATTAAATTAAATCAAGATTAAGTTAAATTAAATTAAGAAGAAACTTAAATGAAATGTTTTATTTTATATTTGCTTTTGCTTCCCTTTTGCTCTTTTGGTTCCCTTTATAAATAAATAGATATTCTTTTCTGTATTTAATCTTTATAAATATTACCTACTCACCGTATTTCTGCCAGAGAGAATCGCTGCTGCCCACGTTCGATTTTGAATGCGAATCGCCGGGGGAAATCGAATGCCCCTCTACTTCATAAACTTCCGTGTAAAGTATGAACTGGAGTCGCGATCTTCGCGTGGTTGTTGTGTTGGATGTTGCTGATGTTGCTGCAGCGACTGTTGGCTGTGGCTGCGGGGTCAAAGGTGATGCGGTGGTCGCTGTTTGGACCGTATCACGTTTGCGTTTAAAAATACGAGGCACGGCACGCAGAGATGTTGTTGTTGCCCCGGGCACATGTGGCAATGTAGTTGATGTTGCTGCTGTTGCTTGTGTTGTTGCTGCTGCTGCTGCAGATTGCTGCAACAATGTAGCACGTTGATTAATTTGATATGGCAAGAGCATAGACGCGGGCGATGCGGATGCAGACTGCGGCGCGTCGCGACAACGACAACGGCAACGACAACGACAACCACGATGACGATAATGATGATGCTGGCTATGACGATGACGATGACGACGAAGATGACTATACGGACGGTACGGACACGGCGGACAGGACGGGGATCGCGGCGGTGATGGGCTTGCGGTTGTACGAGTATTTGTCTCGGCACTTGGACTTAAGTGGCAATCCGCACTCGATGTTGGTAATTTATTTTGCAAATTTGTGCCAACAGCGAAATGCTCCCCTCGCTGCTGCTTGCTCAGAATTAAATTTAACTTACGCGTATTATTTTCACTATTTACACTGCACAAAATTGCACTACCACTATATACAGCACTCTGCACCTGCGCACTTGCACTCGGATTAGCACTCTCACTTTCGCCGCCGCTTCCAGTTGCATTCGATATTGAATTGATTATGCTTATCGAATCGCTTGTCTGGCATTTCACACACTTGGCACCGCTCCTTCCCAGCTGCTCTCCGTTTGCTCGATTTAATTTCTCAATGACCAACGCCCATGGGTATGTTGAGATTCCTGCTGTCGATCCCTGGTGATCCTGCTGCAAGATGTGAGGACGAGGAGGGGGACTCGCCGATCCCGGCATTGGCACCGCGAGGGCTGAGGCTGAAACTGAGGCCGGCCGGAGGAGCGTCGTCAGGCTGATCGCAACCAGAACCACTGTGCACCACCACAAGGTGCAGCGGGCCCCCGCGGCGCCACTGGCTGCATGCGTGGGGGCCACAGCGTCGTCCGCCGCCGGCGATCGGATTGTTTACGGCGTGCTTTCGTCCGGAAAATCCCCCAATCGCATGGTCAATTGCGGTTAAAACACACGATCAATATGCGGTGATTATAGCTGCAAAAATGAGAAAAATTGGGTTTTTTAAGAATTATTTAGAGTATTTTATTTAAATATGAAATATATTTATATTTTATTTATATAAAATATTGAATTAAATTTAATTTTAAGTAACTTTACATAGAAATATTATGAAGCATTCGTAAACCTTTCAAAAAATCCCAAGTTTTGACATTTATCATAAAATAATTATGATCCTCATTATTATTTTTACCACTTTTAATTTTTAAACAAATATTTGGAATTAGGACCCATTTAAGTATAATTGATCAGAAGCGCTACCATAAATGTTTAGTTTGTCTTCGATTTTACAAAAAATAAATACACAAATTTACAAATCTGTTATATATTTTAGAAATGTGTCAAGAAAAAGTTTAATTTAAATTAAAGTAATCGTAATAACGATTTATATATTATTTATAAGGGTTTGTCTGGAAACATTACATATTTTAGCCAATTACCATTAAGTCTAGATCGCTATAATTTCTTGCAGTGCTTTTATGCTGTGTGGTCGCCCACTTGGCTCTTGTGTTTTGTTATTTTCATTTCTTGTTGTCGCGTTTACTAGCTGCATTTGCTTTTGTTTTGTGCGAGTCTGTCCCGAAGTCTGTGGCAAAGTATCCACCGTCCCACAATGATTCCTCCCGAACCCCCGACGAAAATACATAGTGACTCATGGGCGGGAGAGAAACGAAGAAAGGGGGGCGCGAAAGGAGGAGACAGTGTCTGAGCATCGCCCTGTGGGCATAAATAACCCCAAGAACTGCAACACGAACAACAATAATATATGTATGTAATGCTCGGGCATTGTTGTTGTTGTTCCACGATGCGTATGCGTAATATTTTGCAGAAATTTATGTTGCACTTCTTTGCGACTTCGTTTTTATTATCATCATCATCATCGTGGACTTCTATATTTAAAGCAGATCAACGAGAACACAAAGAAGGGAAGAATGGAGACGGCAACTTCTTCGTTATGCTTTTAGCCCAACTTAATAAAAAAAAACAAAAATTAGAAACAAGTCAAGAAAAATGAGCTCTAAACTAAAAACATTAACAACATTAATATTACAAAGTGGGCTGTCTTTTTTGTGTAGTTTTGTATTGCTAAAATAGTATAAATATAATTATAAGATAAAGGAATAATAGATATATCGGATTTAGTTAAAATATTATTGATATTGTTGGTTTTTTATTATGAGAAGCTTAACAGCTCGAATCCCTTTACGATACTTTTCCCCTCTTTATAACAACAACAATGTTGCACCCCAATGTGCCAGAGACAGATACAGATTGATGCCACAAAACAACAAACGCATTAAGATGGATCGCATTGTGGAGACGAATCGTCCTCATCAACATCAACTTCATCCCCATCATCTCCGCCTCCGTCTCCCTCTTCGTCTGAATCTGTTGTTTGTCCGTTGCTCTCTCATTTTTATTCGCTTTATTGAAATTCCTTTCAAGTGTCGGAGGAGATCGTCATCATCCTGCTATATCCTCCTCGTGAACACGATCATGATCATAATCATTAGCAACCTTTGCTGTGGTGTTGTGTTTGTGTTTGATCTGTTTTCGTTGCCCAGACAGGCAGACACGGCGGAAGGGGGGACACTCGACGGCAGCTACTGTTTCCCCTTTTTGGAGCCTTCTTGAGCCGGAGCAATTTATTTGATTGCCTCTTCATTTTCCTTCCCTCACTTCGTTTTGGCTCAGACCTTAAGTCGAAATTTATGTTTGCCATAAAAACACGATCTCCGACTCGGAGTCATAATTAATAAAAAACAGCAAAAAAAAAAAAGAGAAGACCAAATCCGAAATGCAAAATGCAAAACAAAAAGCAACGCAGAAATGTGGCCATAAAGTGCTGACAAGTGTGTTCTGCCGTCCGTTCTGCAGACCCCAAACAAAGGTTCGCGTGAGTCAAGATCATTTTGAGACAGCATTTGTTTGGGCCTTTTTTGTGGCACCAGCTGGACTTAATGCGATGGGAATGAAAGGTATGCATATGTGTGGGGCTTTATGAAAAGAAATTACCATACAAAGTAAACTCAGATCGAAGGTATGTGGCAGTTAAAATAAAGTGTCTCCTTCATAAAAATAAATGTTTTTTTCGCTTTCTCAATGCGAAATATTTTAAAATGTTAATTTACCCTAATAAAAACGAGTTAAAGTAATAAAGTAACCTAAATAATAAAATTTAACTGTTGCGCATGGAAATATTAAAAAAAATTTATAGAATTCCAAATATGTGACCCCCAACAAAGTAAAATTCTGTGTAAAACATCTTTGAAAATAGCGAATTACTATACCAAAAACCATAAAACAATAATAGCAATAAAAACAACCATATCAATACGTTGAAACAACAACAAAATACTTGTGAGCATAAGCATTTTCATCTAATTCAAACACATTCCAGTTTATTTTTAAACAAAACGCTACATTCTTGTATTTATTTCGGTGCCGGCAAAAACAAAATCGAAGACTTTTATTTTCAATTTCCAACATATCGAGCAGAGCGGGGAGCGTGGGAAATGGGGGAAAACCCAAGAATTCGCGAGTAATCGACAGAAGCCGGCTGTTATCGATAAAAACACCGAAAAGCGAGCATTGGCATTTGCCAGATAAGCGGGTAAATTCGTACTCGTACATACCAGAAAGTCGAACGCTCGATTTGACATTGAGCAAACGTAAATTCGAAGAATTCCGGCCCAGGAAAAGTTTTCCCCACCGCAGAAGAGGAAGAAGTGTCGGCCCCTCGAGTTCCCCGATCACGGCACTATTTTACTATTTCACGCACGACTTTCGAACTTTCCGTGTCACGAGTATCGAGCACACTAATCAAGGAATTTCACACATGACAACCAAGTATTTGGGCTTGCTCTCTCCCTTTCACGCACTTTCTATCCTTCTTGCTCTCACCGTAGCTTGTTATTTTGATTACAACTATTATCTTGGTTTTATTAATATTTTTAGGTTTTTCATCCTTTAATGTTGCAAAAAAAGTGAAAAAAATTTAAATCACTTGATGTGAACTTTAAATTTACTGCTGCTGAGATTAACACGTTTATCCACGTAATCACCGCTAACATATGGCCATATAGCTTTCACCGATCCGATCTAGCCGCCAACCTGCGCCGCACTGAACTAAATGCGATTTTTTTCGCAGCTAACATAAAAACTGCCCGTTTGTCTCCAATATTTCACACATTTCGCACACTCAGGCCCCGGCGTCTATATAGACGATATATATCCCTGCATTGGCCGGGAATATAGAAGGGGGCTGGGCGGCCTGAGACTCCGACGCGGCGACAGGCGTGCCTTTTATTTTTACCGCTCATTTTGTTGTTGTTCGCGAGCACGGCAAATAAAAAAAAAACGATCTAGAAAATAGCAAAATTATTTTTGTACTTAAAAATAAATTGAAAAGCATTTTCTTCATCTGATTTTGCAACAACGGCCGCAGGAAAATCAAGTGTGAAAAGCGATGCCACTCCCTTCTCCCCAATTTTCCTCTCCACTTTAAAGTCTCCACTCTACAATCTCTTATTCCTGAAGGGCCACACTAAAAAAAATGTAATTTTTAAGACTCGCACATTTTAATATTAATTTTTTTTTATTCAAAAACTAAAACTGTTGTTTCTATTCTCATTTTAAAATAACAATATATATTTAATATTTAACTTTTAGAAATTTTAAAAATATTTCTATAAAAAAAATATTTTTTTCTGTGCATTGTAATGCTTTTCTCTTCGAGGATCGAGAACTATCTCCCTGCCTCCGTCTCCGTCTGTCTGCCCGTCTGTCCAACTGTCTGGCCCTGCTCATTATTTCGCTATCATCGGGAGAGACGCAGAATCGGCGACAAGAACAACAACCCGTTCCAAAAATACCCTCTAACAGTGGGGTAGAGTAGGATGAACAACGCAGACACAAGCAGCATAATTTGTATTCAAATAGAGAATAAGAATGTTGCAGAAATTGTTGCACAAATAAGTGGAGGAGGAGGAGCTGCAGCTGAGGTAGCCAACAGGGCGAAAACAAAAATACCAGCTTTGATGGTTTTAAAATGACGAATGAGAAATGCCCTCAAAGTTTCTAAACTTCCTTTTTATTTCAATATTTATATCTATTACTCATACTACTATTATAAATCTAAGATCTGATTCGATCCATTGTTAAAGGCTCTTTTATTTAAATTATAATAATTAATTTTTGCATAATGGTTCACCCCCTGATGAAAATTTTAGCTACTTTCAAAACTTTACATTATTATATACATTACTGAATTTATAATAAAACCTAGGAATATTTTCGAGACCTTTACTTATCTAGGGTAAATTTATGTAATAAATATTTACCTAGATAATAGGGAACATGTAAAATTAACAGTTTTGATATCATTTGAGATTTGAGATCATTAGGACCTGAAAATTCTTCTAGTTAAACAAAAGCCAACAACATAAATATCACAAAAGATGGGAAAGATAGGGGAGTAAAGTATAATTCTCTATTGCCGAGTATAGGGTCGCCGAATGGGAGTCTATGTGTGGGGATTTTTGGGCTATTTTCAGATCCATCTGACTCACTCGCCCTGAACCTCAGCCGATCTTCCCACTCCCTCGCTCTCTATCTCGTACTCCCCACGAAAAGAACAATGAGCCAGCAACCGCTGAAAATCTTCCACTTGCAGAACCGCACACAAGTAACGCCTGGCCCAAAAAAAAATGAGGAAAATTTTGCAATGTGAAAATTGCATGAATTAGAAAACAAAAAGACGAGGAAACTGCCGCTCCTGCTGATGA